GTTCAATCTGTGAGTTAGCCATGCCCTGACTTAGATCAGCCAAAAGGTTATTTCAGGATATTGATAAAATGCATTGGTAAGTTGTTTGAAGATGGAGGTTAGAAAGAATAAATGTTCGGGTATACAATACCAGAATGTTTCTGACAGATCAACTCAGTGTTATTAAATTCAAATTGCTTCAAGTGCTATGATTGGCTGCTGTCTTCATTGTCATCTTGGCCTTCGTCACCCTCATATCGTCCATAAACCATAGTGCGCAACAAAGGACCAACCTGAAATCATAGATCAAGATGAATGAATAAAGAAAATACATAAATTCAAAATTCCTTTTTTGAAGTAGAAAGGATAGTGGAGGACGAGGTGAAAAACTCAAAGCATGGCACGAGAATTGACAAGCACCTTTACTCACATACTTTTCCATACATTTGTATGGAAATCGCAGAACAATGCCTAAGCTTTTTGGTGACYGTAGGTCAATCTAATGCGATTTATACCACATTTTATACCACATAGACCTTTTCTGAGGTAGCGAACACGGTGCATTATGGTCTAGCTTTGGTACAAACATCTTTTGTTAATCATGCCTTATATGGGATGCACGGGTGGCATGAGCTGCTAATGTGCTGCCTCTTACCAATGCGACCAGTTTTCCAGTTTTTCCTCCCTCCACAAAAATCAACTTCTAAATTCTAATTCGATCTACCGGCTGCCTTATCAATTGGGTCACAAGACCTGTAGGCGTCAAGCCGTTYACCAGGAGTGGTAAGCACATTAGGTGGTGTTGTTTGTACTGAAGCTAGACCACAATGCATCCAGTTTATCTAACTCAGAAAATGCTGATATTAGGATGAAGTCATCTTGCAAATAGCCCTGTTTTCTCATCCCTTGCACCACAAAAAAGCTTTTTCAATAACATTCTGAATTCCTAAAATACCTCAGTATGACTACCAAGTGCCTCTCCTAGCATCCTTTCGATGTTTCTCATGATTGCCATCTTTTGTTGTGCCGACAGTGGGTACTTGATATCACTGGGTGTCTGTCCTGCCTGAAATRAAGAGACAACAGCTCTTACTTAGCAAAAAACTCAAAAAAAAAAAATAAAGGTTGTTTATTCTTAAGCCAGTCGGGATAAGGAAAAACTTTGCCCAAGGTCTAGGATATATTTGGGATGGGGTGGTTAGGCCAGGGTCCATTTTCAAGGCCAAGGGCACAATTTTTCCCTATTCAGACCCACATTAGGAAGGTCAATAACCCCCACCCTTTTTTGGTCTTGTTTTGCAATTTTCGTTGCTCTTTAGCAAATAGAGATAGAAAGTACCACCGCTWGTGCCAGCCAATCAGAAGGCACAATTTTTAGGATACCCGACTAGAGAAAAATTATTGTGACTAGTTGTTAATTGTAGATAAGAATCAAAAAGAGAATATCATTCTCAAGGAAACCATTATATTCTTGTCAATAATAATAATAATAATAATTATTTTTTTTTGATGTCCGATACCTCGTTCTTTTTTTTTTGACATCTGAGAATGACAGTGAAAAGWGGGTGTTTATGACATCATCCCTTTTTAAGAAGTGATTTTATGTGTTATTATACTTCAGTAAATACCCTTTTGTTCATGAACTGGTACATGAAATTGATTGGTTAATTGCATATTGATCGACAAGTGGTCTGAAATGGGGAGATGTTTCAAAATGAGGTTATTTTGGGTTAACTTATRACCAACAATTGATAGAATCAACCGTCAAAACATGTCCTGTATGAAATTTAAAAGACTTGTGTTTCTTTTGAAATTGTAATTTAGCTATTTCCTTCTTATTTTTTATTTATTTTTATTAGACTGTGAGCGGTCTTACTTTTCCCTCAAGACTCAGTAATTATAAAGATGAGGGCTTTGAGTTTTCTGGGGAAGCGTGCAGAGATTGAGCCAAATGAGTGGGGAGAAGGGAGAGGAAAAGTAGTCTTACAGTGCTGTCTGCAGTGGCTACTTTTCCTTTCCCTTCTCCCCACTCATTTGGCTGCAATTTCCGCGTGCATCCACAGGAATCCCAAAACAATCATCCTTACTGAGTTTGGAGAAAAAAGTGGGGCCTCCTTTTTTTCCTAACCTTACCTTGTACCAAAAATTCACCGATGTTGTTATTTCACTGTTCTTTGCTGATTCAACATAATGCCACCTGAAACCAATGTAAACCTAATAAACATTTTCTTGGAATTTTTACATGTTAGATACTTATGATTTAGAAATATTTTCACTAGTTACCCTGCCTTAAGGCCGGTTTAGACGGTACGACTTTCGCCTACAACTATCGTATATAACACACTCGCATCTGTCGTAGGCGAGTTGTAGGCTTGATTTACAYRCTAYGAYTCGAGTTGTARGATGGYKWGAGCGTGTTGTATACGATAGTTGTAGGCGAAAATCGTACTGTCTAAACTGACCTTTACGTGGGCTTTCTTACATCTTCTTGAATAAAAGGTGCTACCATTAATTTGCTTTATAAATACTGTATCTGTAAATGGCTAAACCTATTTTCAAAAGACATTGTTGGTTGGAAATACAAAACAATCTGACGATCTGACTAAACTAAATTCATTTGCAATTTTTTTTATGATTAAAACATTTGAAAAATCACATTTCTAAGTTAGATYGGAAAATGATAAATGACCCTCACATTGCTCRSGTGTGAATAGATTATGATTCTCAAGTTTCAGATTTCAGGTCTCGGGCCGACAAGGTTTTTTTGAAATATTATTTGTACTTACCAGTACATTGGAATATAGAGCACCTCTCCTGGCCCAACCATTGCTTCTGTTCCACTTATATTTCTGAAGTTGGGAAATCTTTTAAGATCTGGGTTATCAAAATCCACCTTCAAAAGTAAATGATAATGTCAAAAAATAAATTAACATATGAGAAGGGGAAAAGATCGATTTTTATGAGTCAGAGAACACAGCACGAGCGTGCATGCTCTGTTATGTTAGTCATATATGCAAAATAACAGTTATTGTAATTTGTATTTTATAAGAGAAGTATGAAATCTTGCTTGCTGTGCAATGTGCACTAAGCTTTTAAAGCACTTGGGAATTGGCAGAACACTTGAGAAGTTGAGAAGCACTCTTCTATATATATGCAGTCATGTAAAACCTCTTTGAATTTCTGCCAAAACCCTGCTCTACAACCACACACAGCACATGTGCCAGTTTTCTATTTCTTCAATGAAATTCTCTTCAATATATTAATAAACAAATAAAAGACCATTTGGTGAATCCCTGAGTTAGTACTGTATATCACACTCGAGAAGTGTTGAGAAGCACTCTACTATGTATGTATCATGCTTATTCTAACACTCTCCTCATGTTCTACCGACCCCTACATACTTTGTTTCATAACTGTGCACAGGAGCATTCTTCATATTTCTTCAATACATTAATGAGTAAATAAAAGAGTGTTCGGTTTACCTGCCTTTGTCTATCAAGCTGATAGACAAAGCATTGAGATTAGCACTTCGCTATGCATCATGCTTCTTCTAACACTTGGAAATTAGTATAGGTAATAGGACTATATGTCTGTCCAATTTGGAAATAACTGGATGAAAAAAATTCTGAGGACTTACAAAATTGGAAGAGGCCGATAGGCCGAGTCCAAATTGGCAGTCAGAGTAATTTTTTTGAATTCAATTATTTCCAAATTGGACAGCATGTAGTTCTATTGTAGATTAATTATATCATCCCAAACTATACTAGACTGATTCCATAAGTCATAGTTTTCCCTTGAAAGAATGCGAATGGAAACAATCCAAATGAATCTTTAATTTGGACAGGAAAGAGAATTTGAAAATAATACAATAGTTGCTTATGTGGGATTATAGAGTGATGATACAATTAAAAGAGTAATTCACTTCTTACCTGACTTTGCCTATCACAGGGATGATAAACAGGGTATGGATACAGACACTTGACCTTGTCCGGGTGGAAGAGGATTATTCTCTTGTACCCAGTTACTTGGCAGAAAAAGTTCTGTTGTTCATCATAGTGCGTTGGAGTTATATTGCCGGGGAGACCAATGAGTAACAGATTTGACGTCAATGGTCCCCAACCCATTTCCTTTCTCCTTTCATTTAACCATTCCCATTTAAAGCCAAGGAAATCTACRACAATTTGTCTTCCGACCTGATCGTTCAGCATTTGTTGAAGGTATATTTTTGGACCAGATTCATTTTCRTTTGCGTTGAAGTTCTTTATTCTGTGATAGAATTCTTCAAATTTCATACTTAGTCTTAAGTTTGGAGGGACAAAGTTTTTCCAACTTTGAGCTCGTTTTTCATCAAAGTATATAAATTTATATGTGTCTGATGCAAAGACAGARAATTCCCCTTTTCCAATGTGTTCTTTCAAATAATCAAGATTCCATTTCATGGCTGTGCCAACGATTCCTGAACCTGTGAGGATGACTGGCATCTAAAAGAAAATAAGAAAAGAAAAGAGAATGGGAATGAATGGAATAAAAAAGAGAAGAATTAAATAGTTCCAAACAGAGCAGAGCAGAGCAGCACAGCACAGCACAGCACAGCACAGCACAGCACAGCACAGCACAGCACAGCACAGCACAGCACAGCACAGCACAGCACAGCACAGCACAGCACAGCNCAGCACAGCACAGCACAGCACAGCACAGCACAGCACAGCACAGCACAGCACAGCACAGCACATCTCATGTACAAAAAAATCCAGTTTGATTCAATTTAATTTAACTAATAAAACAACATTAGTATAAATATGCAGGTGATTATTGAAAATCTCGCGCGCTGATTGATCGAGAAATTCAGATAATCGCACAATAATCACCTCCAGTGATAATCCAAAATAGTGGTAAGCCACTTTGTTGTTGTTACCAGAAAAAATTTTGTCTTTAATCTTCTTTTTTTTCCTTTTTTTTTGAAAAAAGCACCTGTGTATTTATACTAAAACAATTATTCACCTCAGGCTCAGTGAATATCAGGAGTAATAACCCAGGGACAGTGGAGCAGTTTTTTGATTGTGGGGGGGGGAGGCTTTTGATTGGGGGGGGAGGCTCAATAGTGACATCGTATGGCAAGGTGGGGGGGCTGAGTTTAGTGAAAATGTATTAAAATTTCACAAAAAGTGGGGGGGATAAAGCCCCCCCAGCCCCCCCCTGGTTCCACCGTCCCTGTAACCACAACTTCGTCTCGGTTATTATTCCCTGATATTCACTTCGCCTTCTGCGAATAATATAATTGTTAAGTAAGCTCATATATTATACACTTAAATTATATTTCTTCTAACAGAAAATATAAGATAACGTTATCTTAAAACATGCCTCAAACCTTGAAGCRAAATTATTCAACCGATACTAGTTATCATTTATTATAAATTACTTTTTTATCTTTAAATATATCATACTACTTATATTTAGTAACGTACAAAATCCTTTCATTGCGTCTATAGYGTAATAATCACTCACTCTCTTTTCTTTCAAAAATAAGTTTTTTGATGACAGTTTTGTCATCAAAACGTGCAACAATGCATGCACGACTTCATAACAGGAAATGATTTTGTAAACACTGCATTTTTGAAAGATTTTAATTTTAGGAATGGTTTATTAGTTTTTACCACAATATCTTGCATCAAATGAACCTAATACAGACCTAAGGTGAAACATAGTCGACGTAAAAATGATTTGATGTGAGATTTTGGATTTTTTTCGCGACAGATAAGGTTGTTGTTAGTGTATTGRAGAAAAGGGGCGGAAGGCATGGCAGCATAAAATATTTACCACTTCAAAAAAAACCCAAAATTTTACCTCATTCTTGATCAGATCTTGAGCTTTAGGATCCTCATAGTGTAATCTAGGAATTTTRTCCAAAGGGAAGTTATATTTTCGAACCTGATGGCCATCAAAGTCTGTGAATTCCTCAGATTTTGAAGAAGCCATTTTTAACTGTAGTGAGCCTGCGGGATTTGAACACAGCGTGTTTCGATCAAAATAAAAAYACCACAGGGAGCCCGCTTTGACTTTTTCCTTTCGTAAACTTATTTTATTTATCTTTTATTTAGGGAGGAGGGGGACTTCTGGGGAAACTTTTAGCAATATTACTTATTTCTAAATTAAATTGTGTTGACTTTTTTTGGAAAATATTTAGCAATCAGTCAAAATTAATTAATTTTTGTTATTTTATCTTATTTTTTGATTTGGGTTTCCTGTGGCATTGGCTCCAAATCGATGAATTGGCTCAATGCCAATGACGAGTTTTCAATCCTTCTAAATATTTTTTCAATAATCATAACTTCTAGTTAAAATATCCACTAAGAAACCGCWAAAGATAGCTTAGAGAGCTTCTTAAAACGGATATGAGACAGGTTTATCTCTTTAACGTCGTGAATTGATTCAAGATTAATACGAAATCTTCAAGAGAATAGCTTTCAAAACACTTGACTTGATCGAGATTGTTTTGTGAAAATGAAGCTCTTCTTTCTCGTTATTTTGGGTCTGATTTATTGTTCCTGGAGCAGCCCGTTGTCAAGGAAGGGCTCATTTTCTAAGCCTAAGCCTGTTAAGACAGAGGATTTTCCCATGGATGACATCTTAAAGGAGTATTGGACAATAAGAAAGCCAAGACACGCAGAACCTGGCAATGAAGAAGGTGATATAGATATGAATACTGCCGTGTTATATTCATTATTGATTGGTGAATTGATTGATCATGAAGATGGACAAGTGGCCCTCTCCCCCCCACCTTTTTAGCCCATAATGATTTTCTGATAATGCCTTAAATCTTAAAAAACCTAAAAATCACATTTCTGAAAGCTTCAGTTTTGAAATTTTTAAGGGGGGTGGGGAGGTGGGGATTCCCGTGGCCCCCCCAGGTTACCAGGGTAGTTCACCCCACCCCCCCCCCTACAGACACATACATACTAAAAATTGATACGTACAGATACATACTAAAAATTGTGCTTCAAGGTCCTTAGTAATTTGATTTCATTGGTTGAACGTATGATCAAATGATTGCCAGCAAGGTTGTATCTTGCATCATGTTTACTAGATTAAACTAGTTGTCATCAGACAAAAACTTACCAGAATTGGAACATGCCTGGTCAAATCTTTGCTTTGCCGGTCAATTTGACCAGTAACGTTGAGCCAGCAAGAGGGTAACATCAAGCTAAAACTATTTTGGCAGGTCGTCATGACAATTGACCAACTGGAGGTTACTTTAGCTCTGCAAATCTTCTAATGTTTCAGCAATCAATGAGAACATGTTTTAGTGTCGGGTGCAGAAGTGGAAACAACCTTTGCACTGTGCATTGTATGTCCTGAAATTTACAGTAGATATATACTAACCGTATTTGCTTTGTGCTTTGTGTTTTTTTGGCTTGCATTCTTATAGGTGAATCAGTTTTTTTTCTCTGCTGCTTCAAAACATTTAGAGCATAACTCATTGATATGAGTATAAATCTATATTATTATATAATAATATTTCAGTTTATTATCTATAGAAACTGGCGCTAAACCAACCCCTGTCAAGCCTGTTGATAAACCAGCCCCTACCAAGACTGTTAATAAACCAGCCCCTACCAAAACTGATGATAAACCAGCCCCTGACAAGACTGATGATAAA